CATCTGTTGAAATATGAGCGGCGGGGCTGCATCCCCAGCACCCCGGCCGCCTGCTTGGCTAGCTTATGCCCGAAATAATTACACGGAAGCTGTATTGTTTTAAACACTGCCTGGCCCTTTATCTGTAGCCTCTTATTGGCTAGCTCTTACATATTAATCTAACCCATTTCTAATATTCTGTGTAGCCCACGAGGTGGCTTACCAGGGAGGATCTTAACCTGCGTCTGTCTGGAGTGGGAGAATCATGGTGACTCCTCACTCAGCTTCTTTTTTCCAGCATCCTGTTCTGTTTACTCCACCCACCTATGGGTTGGCCTATCAAGGGGCTTAGGCAGTTTCTTTATTAATAAGAAATCACTCCCACATCACCCCTGCAAGCGGTGGTGCTGTGCTCACCTAGTTGCAGCCTCTGTTGCTGTTAGTGGGTAGGAAGAATGAAGGGAGTGTGGCGGGTGGCCCAGCAATGCCTCGAGGCTAATTGATCTATGAGCCAAGGAGCCTATATGGATAAATCTGTGGCTTTTAACAGAGGAGAGAATTCAGGAATTCTCCTAGTTTTGTGATTACAAAATATAAAATAAAAAAGCAAGGATTGTAAACCATGGTGTGGCTGTATTTACCTAAGCTTGTGGTCTCATGCTGCAGTCTCAGAGCCGCTATCATGCTGGACTCCTGAGAGCCTGTATATTTGTCAGCTGTGTTTATGCTGGTCTGTGTTGGGACTGCTAAAAGTAGCCTGTGCCCTGCCCAAGCTGAGCAGGCAAAGAGGGACCGACCTCATGCTCCCAAGTACCCAGGCAGGAAAGCCAAGCAGCAGAGGGAACATGGCTTGTGCCCCTCTACATGGCCCAGCTTCAGCTAGGAGTCTAGCCTGACTTGGCAGCCAAGGTGCAAAAAAGTAGTCTCAGGGAACTACAGCTTCAGGTCAGTCAAGTATCTGTGAAAATTTAAATAAGCAAGTTAACTCTGTCAGCTAGGCAGATTTGCAATTTGGATTAGAAGAAAGATAGTTTACACACTTTTAATAAAACACCCAATGACTGAGACCTTATTTAAAATATTCTGTGGGAGATCTTGAGCCACTAAGTGAAATTCTTTTTTTTTTTTTTAACTTTATTTAACTTTATTTCATGCGCATTGGTATAACAATGTCAGATTCTCTGGAACTGGAGTTACAGATAGCTGTAAGCTGCCATGTGGGTGCTGGGAATAGAATCTGGGTCAGTGCTCTAACCACTGAGCCATCTCACCAGCCTCCTAAGTGAAATTCTTAAAGGGAGCAGTGATCCAAATTTCAGTAGACAGCTCACAGAAGCTGCCAGACAGGTACTCACCCAGACAGATTATGCTAAGCAGAAACAGCAAGTGCATCATATTAATTATGATCAACCCTAGTAAGCATGTATATCACTTGCAAAACTTACTCCTATAGCAGTGTTATTGCAAAACGGTCTGCTTTTATGGTTACATCTACCTGTTTTGCAGGTTATGGTATTAAACTTATTTTGAAGCAATAGCTTGCTTAGCACAGAATAGCAGGAGGTATTTTGGTAGAGAACTGGCTGTGATCAATGGTTATTTCAAAATAGTGATTCTTGGGTAATTGCATGTGCTCAATTTGAAGGCCAGATTAATCCTTTCCCAGCTGATTCGTTATTGCAATTTGCACAACTATATTCCTTTATTGTAGTGATGAGACGAGCAGGCCTGCTTTTTGTCCTACCTGGCTCCCACACAGCTAGCTTAGCCCCAGAAATAATAACACAGAAACTGTGTTCATTTAAACACCGCCTGGCCCATTATTTCTAGCCTCATATTGGCTAACTCTCACATCTTAATTAACCAATTTCTATTAATGTGTATTGCCACTTGACTGTGGCTTACCAGCATGAGTCTAACCAGCGTCCATCTCGGAGAGGAGACCCATGGCATCTACCACACTGCCGCCTTCTTCTTCTTCTTCTTCTTCTTCTTCTTCTTCTTCTTCTTCTTCTTCTTCTTCTTCTTCTTCTTCTTCTTCTTCCTCCTCCTCCTCCTCCTCCTCCTCCTCCTAATCCTCCTCCACCCAGAATCCAGTTCTGTCTTTTCCGCCTATCTAAGTTCTGCCCTATCAAAAGGCCTAGGCAGTTTCTTTATTTGACCAATGAAAGCAACACATAGAAACAAGACCCTCCTATACCACTTTATTTTTCCTAAAGTTGTAGCAAAAGATCCTGTAAAGGATGCTATGTTAATTTTTACAGATGGTTCTTCCAATGGAAGAGCTGTGTACATGGTTAATGGTGAAGGACTTATAATGCAAACGGAACTGGCTTCAGCTCAAATAGTTGAGCTATGAGATGCCACTACAGTGTTCAGCTTTTTGTAAATAAGGCATTTAATCTATACCCAGCCAATATATGCTTAATGCTCTTCAAGTCCTAGAGACTGTCCCATGTATTGGGATTGGCAAAAAGCAAGTTAAGATGCTGTTCCAGCAAATTCAAAATGCCGTACAACAAAGAAGGTTGTCATGCTTTGTAGGGAATATTAGAGTGCATTCAAATCTTCCTGGTCCAATAGCTGAAGGTAATGCTTTAGCTGATAAACTCACAAAAATAACTGCTTTATCTCAGCTTGAGCTTGTTCAGCGATTGTATGCTCTGCTTCATCAAAACAGTATAAGTTTAAGAAAACAATTTAGATTAACAAGGGAACCTGCTCACCAAATTGTTAAGCAGTGTTTACAGTATTTACCTGTACCTCATCTGGGGGTAAATCCCCAAGGACTACTTCCTAATCATGTATGGCAAATCCATGTTACTCATATCACAGAGTTTGGCAAATTAAGATATGTGCATGTGACAACTGATACATGTTCAGGATTCTTGACGGCTACTGCAAAAACCAGGGAAGCCGCTAAGCATGTTATAACTCATTGCTTAAAATGCTTCTTATGTATGGGAGCCCCAAAATTAATGAAGATAGATAATGGATCCAGATATGTTAGTAAAACATTTCAGCAATTTTGTTCTCAATGGAATATCAAACACAAGACAGGTATTCCTTATAATTCTCAAGGACAAGATTGTGGAGCATGCCCATTGCTCCTTGAAAACAACTTCAAAAAATAAAAATGGAATTATATCCTTGAATGCCACATAAGACCTTGAACCATGCACTTTTTTACACTAAACTTCTTGAATGTGGATGTTATGAGCCATCTGCCATGGACAGATTTTGGCATGACAGCACCAAGACAACCTCTGCTAAAGCAAGGTGGAGAGACCTTTGCTCTGGATTATGCAAGGGACCCAATCCTGTATTAATGTGGGGTCGTGGGCATTTCTGTATTTTTTCACAGGATGAGGATTAAGCAAGATGGTTTACAGAATGTCTGGTTCAATGCATACAGCGGAGGAATGCCCTGATGATATCACAGTCACTGATCACTCCATAGAAGAAGCAGAAAGGTTTATGAATTCATGAACCACCATGCTGCAGAATGAGAACTGGGGTACCTGAACCAATGTTCCCGTCCAAGAACATCATGCTGCACTCTGAGAAGGGAAAGAAGATTTGGTGACGACTGGTGAGTCCTAGGTTTTTTTTTTTTTTTTTTTTTCGATAGACTTGCTGTGCAACCTTTCAGACCTAGTGAGTTCTGTTTACCTTTGAGCTAGACCAGAAATGAAGACTGAACATTTGACTGTTTTACTCTTTGGGACACAGAACTCAGATTGCCAGTGAGGTATGCTGTTGAAATGTTGAGAGAACCTGAGAACTGAGACTTCAATTTTCCCCTCAGGAAAAAAAAGATTCATGACAAGGAGTGACTGAAGCTCTTCTTCAGATATGAATTGTTTTTGCTGCTGTGGGTTGAAAAATAAATGCTATATTTGAATACTTGTCTTTGGTGACTTACAAAACCCTGAGGAGGAGCCTTTCTGGAGGAACGTAGTCCCTGGGAAAGGGCTTTGAGGGTTTGTACAGTTCCTTGTGTGGTTGAAACTGAGCAATCTTCCTCTCCTGTACCACTCTAACACCATCATTAGAGACTCCACTCCTAAACAATGGACTATAAAGGAGAAGCAATTACTTTCCCTTGCTAATTCCTTTTTTTTGCCTAATATTTTTATGCTCATAATTTTGGCTGATAGAATTAGGATTTTGTCAAGCATTTGCTCTTGTGCTGAGCTTTACCCACATCATGATTTCTGAACTTTGGCAGAGGGCGTCATTCTTCAGATCAAGAATGCATGCAGTCATGAAATTAATAATGATCTCTTGAATTATTAAATTTCAAGTGTGTAATATTGTTCCTAGCTTTGTGTATGGTTTTACATTTTTTAATAAGTCAGATGTCTCAATCTTTTACCTATTTGTATGGATGTGTACCACTTATCTGCCTGTTATTTACTGAAGTGAGAGTATTGGATTGTCTTGACCTGATAGAAATAGTTGGTAACCTTCAGTGAGTACTGGGCATTGATCTAGGACCTCTTTAAAAGCAACAAGTGATCTTATCTGTTGACTAATTTTTATATACTTCATCTTTTTTTGTTATTGTTGTTTTATTGTTTTAGGATTGGTCTTTACTTTATTAATGCATTTGAGAACTCTGTCAGTAGCAACTTCTTAAAAATACATTCCTTCCTAGGAATTATTAAATGCTTTACAGTTTACAAGGGGTCATTCCACTTTGGAGTGAATGTTCACCTCTTTGGAGGAATTTTGATTGAGCCCTGAGTGCTTTTTATTTGTCTGTTGGTTTGACACAGGGTATCACTATGTACCTTTGACTGCCATGGCAATCTGTATAAGACCAGGCTGTCTTGGTAATCACAGTCTTTGCCGCCTGAAGTTTGTAATTAAAGGTGTGTCTTTCACTTGTTTGGTTAGAGTTACTCTGAGATATTTTATGCTATTTGTGGCTATTGTAAAGGGTGTTGATTCTCTGATTTCTTCCCCAGCCCTTTTATCATCTGTGTACAGGAGGGATACCGATTTTTTTTTTGAGTTAATCTTATATCCTGCTACATTACTGAAAGTGTTTATGAGTTGTAGAAGTTCCTTGGTAGAATTGTTGGGGTCGCTTATGTAGACTATCATATCATCAACAAACAGTGAGAGTTTGACTTCTTTTCTGATTTGTATCCCCTTGATCTCCTTTTGGTGTCTTATTGCTTTAGCTAGGACCTCAAGAACTATATTGAATAGATATGAAGAGAGTGGACAACCTTGTCTTGTTCCTGATTTCAGTGGAATCGCTGGGAGTTTCTGGTGCGGGAGAATTGTCTGTATTATGTCAATCATGTTATAAATAAATGCTGATTGGCCAGGCAGGAAATATAGGTGGGAAAACCAGACAGGAAGCAGAACTGATGTAATGAGAACAGGAGAATTCTGGGAAGGAGGAAGTTGATTCCTCCCACTCCTGCCCAGACCACCGAAGCAGCAGGATATGATCTGCCTCACTGAAAAAAGGTACTGAACCACATGGCTAACATAGATCAGAAAAATGGGTTAATCAAGATGTGAGAGTCACCCAGTGAGAAGCTAGAGCTAATGGGCCAATCAGCTTTATAACTTATAAAGATCTCTGTGTGATTTTTCTCTGGGACTAAACAGCTGGGGAACCTGGTGGGACAGAAAACCCCAACAAGCAGGCCCCCTGCTCTTGTTACAAGTTTCTCTCCTTTTAGTTTGATGTTGCCTGTTGGCCTGCTGTATATTGCCTTTATTATGTTTAGCTATGTTCCTTGTATCCCTGCTCTCTCCAAGACCTTTATCATGAAGGGATGTTGTATTTTCTCAAAAGCTATTTTGGCATCTAATGAGATGATCATGTTTTTTTTTTTTTATTTTTCAGCCTGTTTATATGGTGGATTATGTTTACAGATTTTTGTATGTTAACCATCCCTGTATCTGTGGGATGAAGCTGACTTGATCATGGTGTATGGTGGTTCTGATGTGTTCTTGGATTTCAGTTGCCAGTATTTTATTTAGTATTTTTGCATCAATGTTCACGAGTGAGATTGGTCTGTAATTCTTCTTCTTAGTAATGTCTTTCTGTGGTTTGGGTATCAGTGTAATTGTAGCCTCATAAAAAGTTTGGCATTGTTCCTTCTGTTTCTATTGTGTGGAATAATTTGAGGAGTATTGGTATTAGTTCTTCTTTAAAAGTCTTGTAGAATTCTGAGCTGAAACCATCTGTTCTGGGCTTTTTTTGGTTGGGAGACTTTTGATAACTTTTCTATTTCTTCAGCAGTTATAGGTCTGTTTAATTTGCTTATCTGGTCTTGATTTAATTTTGGTAAGTGATATTTATCCAGAAAGTTATCATTTTCCTTTAAGTTTTCCAATTTTGTAGAGTACAGGTTTTCAAAATATGACCTGATGATCCTCTGTATTTCCTCCATGTCTGTTGATATGTCCCCTTTTTCATTCCTGATTTTGCTAATTTGGATATTATCTCTCGGCCTTTTGGTTAGTTTGGATAAAGGTTTGTCTATTTTTGTTGATTTTCTCAAAGTACCAACTCTTTGTCTCATTGATTCTTTGCATTGTTTTCTTTGTTTCTATTTTGTTGATTTCAGCTTTCAATTTGATTGTTTCCTGTCGTCTAGTTCTTTTGGGGGAGTTTGCATCTTTGTTCTAAAGTTTTCAAATGTTCTGTTAATTCACTAGTGTGGGATTTTTTCAGCTTTTTTATGTAAGCATTTAATGCTATGAACTCGCCTCTTCACACTGCTTTCATTGTGTCCCATAAATTTGGGTATGTTGTGTGGTCATTTTCGTTGAATTTTAGAAAGTCTTTAATTTCCCCCTTTATTTCTTCCTTGACCCATTGATGGTTCAGGTGAGCATTGTTTAATTTCCATGTGTTTGTGGGTTTTCTGGAATTGGTATTTCTGTTGACTTCTAGTTTTAAACTATGGTGATCTGATAAGGTACATTGGGTTATTCCATTTTTTTTAATATTTGTTGAGGTTTCTTTTTGTTACTGAGTATGTGGTCAATTTTTGAGAAGGTTCCATGAGGTGTTGAGAAGAAGGTATATTCTTTTCTGTTTGGATGGAATGTTCTGTAGATTTCTGTTAAGTCCATTTGAGTCATAATATCTGTTATTTCTCTTATTTCTTTGTTCAATATTTTCTGATTGACCTGTCCACTGGTGTGAGGGGAGTGTTGAAGTCTCCCCACTATTAGTGTATGAGGTCTAATTGTGATTTAAGCTTTAGAAGTGTTTCTTTGACATATGAGAGTACCCTTGTATTTGGGGCATAGATGTTCAGTATTGAGGTTTCCTCTTGATGAATTTTCCCTGTGACTAATATGAAGTGTCCTTCTTTGTCTCTTTTGATTGATTTTTGTTTGAAGTCTATTTTGTTAGATATTAGGATAGGTACACCTGCTTGTTTCTTTGGTCCATTTGATTGGAATATTTTTTCCCAATCCTTTACTCTGAGACATTGTCTGTCTTTGAGGTTGAGATGTGTTTCTTGTATGCAGAAGAAGGATGGATTCTGTTTTCATATCCAATCTATTAGCCTGTGCCTTTTATAGGTGAGTTGAGTCCATTTATATTAAGGGATAATCATGACCTATGATTGCTATCTCCTGTTAATTTAGTTTTTATTGTTGGTGATGTTAATTTGTGTGTTTCCCCTTTCTTTGGGATTTCCTGCTATGTGACCATCAATTGTCTGTGTTTTTGTTGATGTAGCCAACTTCCTTGGGTTGGAATTTTCCTTCTAGCATTTTGTGTAGGGCTGGGTGTGGCTAAGTATTGGTGAAATCTAGTTTTGTCATGGAATATCTTCTTTTGTCCTACGGTAATCGAAAGTTTTGCTGGGTATAATAATCTGGGCTGGCATCCATGGTTTCTTAATGTCTGCGTAACACTTGACCATGACCTTCTGGATTTCATTGTCTCCAATGAGAAGTCAGGTGTAATTCTGATAGGTCTGCCTTTATATGTTACTTGGCCTTTTCCCTTTGCAGCTCTTAATATTCTTTCTTTACTCTGTATGTTTAGTGTTTTGATTATTATGTGGTGAGGGGACTTTCTTTTGATCCAATCTATTTGGTGTTCTGTAAGCTTCTTGTATCTTCATAGACATATCTTTTTTTAGGTTGAGAAAGTTTTCTTCTATGATTTTGTTAAATATATTTTCTGTACTTTTAAGTTGAACTTCTCCTTCTGCTATACCTATTATTCTTAGGTTTGGCTTTTTCATGGTGTTGCATATTTTCTGGATATTTTGGGTTAAGCTTTTGTTAGATTTAATGTTTTCTTTGACTGATAAGTCTATTTCCTTCATTGTATCTTCAGCGCTTGAGATTCTCTCTTTTGTCTCTTGTATTCTGCTGTTCATGCTTGTGTTTGTGGTTCCTGATTGTTTTCTCATGATTTCTGTTTCTATAATTCCCTTTTTTTGTGTTTTCTTTATTGTCTCTATTTCATTTTTCAAGTCTTGAATAGTTTCTTTCATACGTTTGATTGCTTTTTCTTGGTTTTCTTTAAGGGATTTGCTGATGTCTTCCAATTTTTTGTTGTCTTTTCCTCCACTTCTTTGAGGGAATTTC